GGGGACGGCCTGCCGCACCTCGGGGTCTCCGCGGAGCCTCCGGCGCCCGCGTCCTCGCCGGCCTGCGCGCCCCTCCCCCACCGGCCGGTTTTGTTCCATTGCGAGGCTTTGGCGGCTCGCGGAGGGTTCTGGGAGTCGCTCGAGCCGAGGTGGGATCCGGTGGGTTCTCGCGCACGGCCTTCTGGGGTTTGTAGTCCCGCCGGGCCCCGTCCTGTGCGGTTGGGTGTTCTGGGGCCTCGGCGGCCCTTCGCGGTGAATGCTGGGAAGAGGACGTCGGCCCCCGGAGTTCCTGGGGGCTGCTGGCCGGGCTCGGCGCTGTGAGGCGGGAGGTCGTGGAGGACCGGGGTCCCGCCAAGTGCTTGACGGCGTTCCTCCCCGTCCCACGAGCCTGGTGCAGTACAAAATAGAAGAAAAAGCAATTTCTATTACGTAGAAATGCTCGAGCCGTTGACAGGGTCGGGTCCAGGAATAGGAACAGATAGCTAGCTGTTGGGTTTTGCTGCCAGGCCATCACCCGACTCAAGAATATCTAACGGATCTATATGGTCTGTCTGTTTGATACAGCATTTTCTGATTCTTTGTCTTCATCTTGACAGGTTTCAATAAGGTTTTCTTAAGTTTCTGGTTTTTTTTATATTGTTGGCTCTGATAAATAAACAGCAGCTGTATTATTCTAGGTTTGTTTTGTTTTGGAGACAAGGTATCTCTGTGTATCCCTGGCTGTCCCGGAACTTGCTCTGTAGACCAAGCTGGCTTCGAATTCGGACATCTGTCGCCTTTGCCTCCCAAGTACTGGGATTAAAGGCGTGTGCCACCACCGCCAGGCTAAGCTTATTATTCTTAATGTGCTATGAACCGTGGCACCGGTATGATTTTGCAAATACTAAAAGGATCAGAAAGTAGATTTCCCCAAAGGAAAAGCTAGGGGAAACCACTTAAGGAAAAAGACTCCTGGCCACCGTGAGAAGTTGTGAGTGCTTTTTCCTAATAGAATTCGCTGCAGTTGATGAACTGTAAGTCTAAATGCATGTATGGTGTGGTGGATGCCTAAATAACATTTGCATGTTATGTGAAATAGTTTCTTCCCCAGTGTTCTGTGATGTGTTACTCAACAGTGTAAAAGTGAATCTGTGACAAGCTCTTAATAGCCCAGCTGGCTTTGCTATGTAGATGAGGATAATCTTGCTTCTACCCAGGGGCAAGGGTTACAGGTTTAGGACACCATACCCAGCTACTAATGAACATTTTTCACATACATTTTGTTTAAGGAGTTCCTAAACAACTTAGTATTTTTTAAATTTAAAGAATTGTGTGTGTGTGTGTGTGTGTGTGTGTGTGTGTGTATTCACATTCTGAGCATTAGCTCAGCAGTAGGGCACATGTGCAAGGTGGGAGGGTGGAGTGGGGTGTGGGGGGAGGGGGGCAGTTGACCTGTTTCCTACTTCAGATTTGCAAAAACAAAATGTGGGGTGGGCTAGGTGGCTCATCGGGGAGGGAGCTTGCTCCAAGCCTGACAACCTGTGCTGGATCCCAGATTCCAATACATAGCAGGAGGAGGGAGCTAACTCCTGCATTTTGTCCTCAGACTTCCACACCTGTGCTGAGGTGTACAAACACAAAATAAATGTCAAAGAATATTTTAAGTATCCTACAGTTCTGAATATTTAGTTGTTTCTTTTATGTATATGTGTACCATGTGTCTGCTGGTGCCTAAGGAGGTCAGAAGAGTGCTTTGTGTGCTGGGAATCAAATCTGGGTCCTCTGCAAGGGCCACAAGTGTTCTTACTTGCTGAACCAATTCTTAAGCCCCAAGGGTTCAGAACATTTGGAGAATACTGTGATAGGGTGATTCTTACATGGGTTTTTAGGTTATTAAATTCCCTTTTGTTGACTATATGTCACAGACCGGCAATCTTTTTCTGGAAAGGGCTAGATAGTAAATATGAAGTTGCTTTAGATCTTAGCTGAAATTGTTGAACCCTGTCAACTCTGCCATTATAGCCTGAACTATGATTAAATTTAATGGTTTATAGACACAAATTTAAAAAATATTGTGGGGCTGGAGAGATGGCTCAGTGCTTAAGAGCACTGGCTGCTCTTCAAGAGGACCCAAGTTCAATTCCCAGCACCCTATGGCAGCTCCCAACTGTCTGTAACTCCAGTTCCAGGAGACCCAACACCCTCACAGAGACACACATGTAGGCAAAAACTAATGAACATAAAATAAATATAAACCATTTTTTAAAATTTAAAATATTTTTACATTGTGTGTGTGTTTGTAGGCATGCACATGTCGTGTCACACTTGTGGAGGCCAGAGAACAACTTCAGAAGAAGTAAGGTCTCTCTTATGTACATGCTGGTCATTGGACTTGAGTCATCAGGCTTGGAAGCCGGTGCCTCTGCAAACTGACTGACCTTGTTGGTCCTAGACAGAGACATCATATTTTCCTATCATAAAATGTTTCTATGCTTTTTAGCCATTTATTTTTGCACAACTCTTTCTATGGATAGTGTAATAGGCAACAGGCTAGATTTGGCTGTAGTCTACTAACTATGGTAGTATTTCAATCAGTGTAGACTGTTGATTGGAATTTTTTAAAAAGTTTTATTTATTATGTACACAATGTTCTGCCTGCATGTATGCCTGCAGGCCAGGAGAGGGCACCAGATCTCATTACAGATGGTTGAGAGCCACCATGTGGTGGCTGGGAACTGAACTCAGGACCTCTGGAAGAGCAGCTAGTGCTCTTAACCACTGAGCCATCTCTCCAGCCCTTGATTGGAATTTTTAATCCAGTAAAAAAAAATATATTTTTTTTCTGTTGCTTTCAAATATCTAGGGGTATTTGGTAATTTATGTGTCTTTTATTTCTTATACCTTAGGAGTACCTTTGAGGAAAACAGAGTATTTCTCTGAGTGAGGTCTTTCCTGCCTCTACTGCCTTTTCCTCAAGTATTGTAACAGGATGTCTGCACAGCCGGTGGAAGAAGATTCAATACTTATTATCCCAAATCCAGATGAAGAAGAAAAAGTTCTGAGAGTGAAACTAGAGGAGGATCCTGATGGTGAAGAGGGATCAAGCATTTCCTGGAATCATCTCCCTGACCCGGAGGTTTTCCGACAGCGGTTCAGGCAATTTGGATACCAGGATTCACCAGGTCCCCGAGAGGCTGTGAGCCAGCTCCGAGAACTTTGCCGCCTGTGGCTAAGACCAGAGACACACACGAAGGAACAGATACTGGAGCTGGTAGTGTTGGAGCAGTTTGTTGCCATCCTACCCAAGGAGCTACAGACTTGGGTTCGAGAACATCATCCAGAGAATGGAGAGGAGGCAGTGACCGTTCTAGAGGACTTGGAGAGTGAGCTTGATGATCCCGGACAGCCGGTGAGCAGGCTTGCCTCACTTTAGTCAGAAACACTAACTAACATAGCAGTAGGCACCTGCTGGATTAACTTGCCTAAGTTCAAGTTGTGTCTGGGCCTCCCTCCTGGTCACGTGCTACTCTGCAATACCTGTGCTGCTCTGTAGGTGGAATCCTCTTTGGGCTGCCAACCAGCTCCCTAATAAAGACATGGAGACGTATTAATTATGAATGCTCAGCCACCAGCTCCTTTAACTTAATGTCACCTGTTTCTATTCATCTCCGTTTTGCCTCAGGGCTTTTTACCTTTTTTTTTTCATTCTGTATGTCCTACTTTCCTGCTTCCTCTGTGTCTGGCTGACTGGCCCCTGGCATTTCTCTGTCACTTCCTTTTCTTCTCCGAGCCTAAGTCCCTCCTCCTACTTACTCTCCCTGCCCAGAAGTTCCACCTACACCTCCTCTCTCATACCTCCTCTCTCGGTGTTGCCCATTCAGCTTTTTATTAGACCAATCAGGTGCCTTAGGCAGGCAAGGTAAAACAGCAACACATCTTTATGTAATTAAACAAATGCAACACATCTGTACATAGTTAAACAAATATTCCATTAACACTGCTCCGCTGTCTAAGACTTTGTAGTGTATTTTTTGTGGCTTCTCTTATGTGTGCTCAGTATCAGAATTCCTTCTCAACCGAACTAAAATCTTGTTTTCAGGTTTCGGTCCGTCGGCGAAAACGGGAAGTGCTTGTAGAGGAGATACCTCAAGAAGATGCTCAGGGATTACCAAGTTCTGAGCTTGATGCTGTAGAGAACCATCTCAAGTGGGCATCCTGGGAACTCCACTCTCTGAGGCACTGTGGTGAGGACCAGGACACCATGTGGCTTTTTCCCAGAGTGCTTTGCTTGTTCTTTTGGCAAAACACTTTTAAGCTGCTGTTTAGAAATAGCTGTACTGTTAGAGGCTGACCTTTCTCATGGTAGACTCATGGCCTCGGGTGTGTTTACTCCTAGACTTTAGCATCTTTAGCTTTTCTTTGAGCCTGCTTTCATGAAGACTGCTCATATTATGCTCACAACTGCCTTGTTGTGAGCCAGCGCTTGTTTCGTCCATGGCACTGCTCATCTGTCGCCTGGTTTATGCTCTTCAGTTTGTAGTCTCCTGTGTCACCGTATTCATACAGTGGGCTGCTTTGGAGTCTCCATCAACCTTTTGGTTTATTTCTCAAGTCTTCCTAAAACTTCAGCTACTTTTGTTTTTTGCTTCAATATTCTACCTACTCTTTTTTTTTTTTTAAATTAAGAAACTCCATTTTATTTTTAATTTTATGTGTATGGGTATTTTGCCTTCATTATGTGTCTGTGCAGCATGTACATGCTGGATGTCTTTGGAAGTCAGAAAAGGGTGTCAAATCCTCTGGAGCTGGAGTCATAGATGCTTGTGAACTGCCGTGTGGGTGCTGGGAATTAAACTCAGGTCCTCTGGAAGAGCAGCCAGTGCTCAACCACTGGGCCATCGCTCCAGACCCCTTAAGAAACTTGTAAAAAGATTTTCTTTTAGAAATTCTGTGTGCTTGTGTATGAGGATGTGCATGTGAGTGCAGGTACTCAGAGGTCAAGAGAGACCATTGGATTTCCTGGAGTTATAGGTGGTTAATGAGCTGCCCAGTAAGGAGCAGGGAGCTCAACTTGGCTTTTTTCAAGAGCAGTATGTGCTCTTAATCAGAGTCATCTCTCCATCCCTCTAGAAACTTAAATAGAAATAAGAAACAAAAAAACAAACCCAGAAATGATAGGAGGGTAAAGTTTTCACTTTTTCTTAAGTGTTTATTCAAACTAGGCTCCCAAGCTATAATATGGTTTAAGTGCAGAAATATCAAAGTATAATTGTAATAATTCAGATTTTTTTTTTCTGATATACTGGTACTTAATGCTGTATACTTGTTTATATGACCTAGTATCCTAAATTGCTGTGTTGCATTTTGTTTATCTGGAGTTTTGTTTGAGAATGCTTCAGGAATCAGTCCTTGAGGTGGGTGGAGATAATGCTATAGCAGTATGCCAAACATTAGGATGTGACCAGGTTTTCTTCCCGTGGGAGGGGTGGCGCTAGAAATCAGAACTGAGGCAGAGGTGTATCTGCTCACCCTGTGCTTTTTCCTTCTCGTGGGACATTTTTCAGTGTGATAGTTAGAGAACTATACATGCTCTTAGGCGGTGCATTTTCTGCTATTGGCTTTATTTTAGCAGGCTGACCACTTTCACATTCAGAAAGTTCCATTCATTTCATGTCATGTGTCCCCACTTACCTGTCATACTTTCCAAGTATCTAAGCCTCTAACCCCTCGGGCCCCTGGGTCTCCCTCTCCTGCTTTCTTGATTGACTTACCCTTGTGACATCCATTATTGGCCACTGTTCAGTGCTGCTGCTCACCATGTGTTACCTGTCCACTCTGTATGACTTAAGTTTCAGGAAAATTGTCAGTGAGTTTTGCTCTTACCTCTGGCCGTGGGTAGGCAATGTTGCTACTTATAAATTGAAGCTTTTGTTTTGTAGACACACCTCACTAAGACTTAAACAGAATCATTTTTTAGCTGCTATGACAAATACCAAATTGGGGCAAGTTTCTTTAACACGGAACCTTTATTTATTGTGTGTTGAAGTTTCAGGTGCGATGGATGCCTTTAGTTAACACAGGCTGCGCTCAGATTAGCTTCAGCTTTTGTTTGTTTGTTCTGTTTTTTTGAGACTTGGTCTCATTCTTTGGCTCTGACTGGTCTGGAACTGGCCTTGAATTCACAGGCGTCTGCCTTCTGCCTCCTTTGAGTGCCGGGTTAAAGGAGTGTGCCACCACGCCCAGTTCTTGGCTTCAGGACTCATATGTTGTGCTTTGAGTCTAGTATTGACTGTGACACACTGACTTACTTCAACAATAACTATTGTTTGACAGATTTTTTTGTTGTTGTACCTTCATTTTGATACAGTTTCTTAAAAATCATTTCCTAATGGCCATCATTTTGCTTCCCAAAGTTTCTTTCAGACCTAGCATTTCAGTTTGATTTTCCCCCTTTATTTTATCATGTTTGTCGCCTTTTTGACTATGTTCTCTTTAAAAAATTTTTTTGTGTATATTGCATGTATTTATGTATGTCATTTGTTCAGTTGCCTAAAGAGGTCAGAAGAGGAAATTGAACCCCCTAGACCTGGAGTTATGATGGTTGTGAGCCTCCCAGTGTGAGTGCTGGGAACTGAACTTGGGTCCTGAAAGATCATGTGCTCTTCATGCCTGAGCCATCTCACTAGCCCCTATGTTAAGTTTAGATAAAACCGGTTGGGTGGTTGGTGGTGCACTCAGGAGGCCAAGGCAGGCAGCTCTCTGAGTTTCAGGCCATCCTGGTCTACAGAATGAGTTTCAGGACAGCTAGGGATATCCAGAGACATCCTGTCTCAATAAACCAAAAAAGAAAAAAGAAAAAAAAAAAAATGTAGATAAACCCTTCTGTGTCATTTTGCCACCATGCCGTTAGCTCATTGACATCATAATCTCCCCCCCCCACCTCCCCATTTTTCTTTTTTGAGAATTGTCAACCTTATACATATATCCATAGATGTGTACAGGTTTTGTTGTTGTTGTTTTTAGTTCATGAAAAACTCCTTTTTGCCAGGCATGGTGGTGCATACTTTTAATCCCAACATACTTTTAATTCCAACATTTAGGAGGCAGAGGTAGGTGCATCTCTGTGAATCCAAGGTCAACCTAGGCTACATAGTGAGACCTTGTCTCAACAACAACAACAACAAAAAAAAAACAAACATTTTTTCCCTTCAAGTTCTTTTCTCTTCAGATAGGAACTGAGTGACATTTGCATTTTCTTTTTATTTCAGAAGATGATGCCAGGACAGAAAATGGAGCCCTGGCTCCAAAGCAGGAGACTGCTTCAGCTGCAGAAGCTCATGATGTTCCTGGCCCTCTTAATATAGGTGTTCCTCAAATCTTTAAATATGGAGAAACCTGTTTTCCCAAGGGCAGATTTGAAAGAAAGAGAAATCCCTCTCGAAAGAAACAGCACATTTGTGACGAATGTGGAAAACACTTCAGCCAGGGCTCAGCCCTTATTCTTCATCAGAGGATCCACAGTGGGGAGAAGCCTTATGGATGTGTCGAGTGTGGAAAAGCCTTCAGCAGAAGTTCCATTCTTGTGCAGCACCAGCGAGTCCACACTGGCGAAAAACCTTACAAGTGTCTTGAGTGTGGGAAAGCCTTTAGCCAGAATTCTGGGCTTATTAACCATCAACGAATTCACACTGGGGAGAAACCTTATGAATGTGTTCAGTGTGGAAAATCCTATAGTCAAAGTTCAAATCTTTTTAGACATCAGAGAAGACACAATGCAGAAAAACTTTTGAATGTTGTGAAAGTTTAAGAAATTAGGGGAAATAATAAGCACTCAGGTCTTTTTCTTCAGAAATGAAGACAAAATTAAAAACATGAAGTGATACAGAAAAGATTTTTTTTCCCTGTTGACTGAGAAAATTCATTGGGAAATACAAAAAAAAAATCTTCATTCACCATTATTATTGTGAAAGAAATGGTGTTATGCCTAGAAACTGAAATTTTAAATAATTCAGGTGTTAATACCTAAATTTTCCATGTGATGTTTATATTCTCTTTTTCTCCCAAGTAATGAGCTACCTGATTCTTTATCCCTTTCTAACAATTTCCTTTTTCAGACAAATACTTTATTTCTGTGTTGGTCATTGGAATGTTTTGTAAGGATACATACCTTTCTATTTTAAAGGCAACATAGGAATTGTAAAATCTAAAAGCCCATCTTTAAGCATTTAAAAACATCTTTGGAAATTTAGTTTCCTTTTGTTCGGTTTGAGTATATTTGGGAAAATAGAAGATAAAGGCTAGCCAAAGCCTCAGTGTTAAGTGAGCCTTAAGATCTCGGATGAGCAATGGTGGCGAAACTGTCAAGAGTGAAAGGGAGAAATTATACACTGAAGTGGACCAGTCAAGTGCAGCCATCTTTCTAAAGGAAAACTTACAACCAGACAAGAAGCTGATTTTATCTAGTGTGTGGGCATCTTACTAATGAAAGCAGTTTGCCTGTGTAAAGATAGACACTTGTAAAAGTGAAGGTAAATGTAACACTAAGGAAGAATTCGTATGAATGCTGGTGTTGAAAAGCAAGTGTGAAATTAAGGCAATTATATGATGTGGCTTTTAGGGAAAACTCACAAGTTGAACTCATTTTGCCCTCATTGTAGTTAAGGATAGAAAATTCCTTGATGAGAGGGCAACAGTATCAGGTTTGCTCTTTTTATTCCTTTGGTACAAAAGGGTTGAACAGCAGGCTAAAACAGCCACGCATTTAGTATTAAACATTTCCACCGACAATGCACTGTGCTAGGTACTGTAAGCCTACTGTAAGTAGGGAGGCATTTGTTCCACTGTAAGTCATAGGGGTTCCCCATCAGCATTCCCAGGTCACCTCAGATTCCCAGAGTTGTAGTTCTCTAACACGTGGGTTGTGTTTAGAGGGAGAGACGTCAGCTCAGAAGGCTAGCTAGCTAGTCAGTTCTTAGCACTTTTCAGAGGTGAGTTCAAGGCACGCTCTTCTAGTTTGAACATTTTCAATCTTAGACCCCGATGTAATTTTGAGTAGCGTTGCAGTTATAACTACAAGTTAAGTTGAATGGACTGTTCTACTTTAACAATAAACAACTAGGCTATTAATAACTAGTTTATTAACTCAGAATTTATTGAATTTTTTTAATTTACAGTCTTAACACATTTTTTAAAAAACATATTAAAGTAATACATTTTATTAGTAGGATTCTGTATGCTGTGGCTAAGAATCCAAGTACTGTGATTCTACTGTTTAATGGAAAACTCTGGAAGTTAAAAGCATTGAGTGTAAGAAGGGGTTTTTGTTTTTATGTAAGACAGGCATCATTACATGGGAAATGATCCATGGGAGTACAAATATTTGCAGCGATTTGGGTTATATCTGGTGCTTGGTCAAATTTTAAAATGAAAGTGAGATTTTTTGCGTGAGCCTATTGAAAAACAGTAATAAATGCAATGCCAACTGATGAAGTAAGGCAGAATGAAGCTTGTTCGTAGATTTCTGATAACAATTATAAGAAATGTGCTTTATAGATTAAGATTTATTGAAGTATAAATATGTAGTATGCTATAATGTATTTTTAAGTTATACAAGAAAATGTAGGGACTTTGGTTTGGGTCTTTTCTGTGGCGGAGAGGAAACACATTACTGTCAATAAAGCTGTAAGCTTCTCTGCTCTAAGATACAGTCACCCGGAATTGCTGTACTTGTTATTTATGGCTGGCTCTCTCCAGTAGGTGTTTGAGGTGGCACATTTGAATGACTGCTGGGGTGACAGAGTTCTTATTTCAGAGTAACCTCTCAGGGTGGAATGCCAGACTTAACAGTTTTAGGGCCCAAACTGTTTGGTCATTTGAAAGCACAGAAGAGGTGGTACTAGAGTTGGCAAATATATGTTGTCTTGCCAGCTCTGACACCTGTGTATCTGTTGGGAAGGAAGCTCAGACAAGGGGCTGGTCTAAAATCCCTCATGGCATACAGGAAAAGGAAACGGTGGGTTTTATACTTAATTGACTCTGGCTAGTCGTAAGTTCCCACTAGACATTAATTTACAGTAACAGTGATTGCTGACTTCAGACCTGTCCCCACACAGAACATCATCATTTGGGAGTACCCAGTCTAAAGGTGCCAAGCAGTGGCCTTACCAGTACCTTTCTGGTTAGCAGACGAGCAGTTGTGTGAAGGCATGCATACCAACTGGCCCAACAGGCTGTTTAGTAGTTTTATATATTCACAGATGTTTGACCATTAGCAGCCTGTCTTACATTTGTGTGACCTTAGGGGGAGGTTACCTGTACTGAAAAAAATGTGCATGCTAAGCATTCGATTGAAATACTTAATCTCATCCAGATTTGTGGACTAGAAAAACAAGACCCAGTGATCTTGGAACTTGGGACTTGGAACTTAGATCTTGTGACTTGGAAATAAATGGCCAGTTAGAACTAAAACACACCTAGTTCTGTGGATTCCTGAGGCTGGGTTTTTTTGTTTGTACTGTCAGGAGTGATGGTGTTAGCCGGGTGGTGGTGGCGCACACCTTTAATCCCAGCACTTGGGAGGCAGAGGCAGGCGGATCTCTGTGAGTTCGAGGCCAGTCTGGTCTACAGAGTGAGTTCCAGGACAGCCAGGACTACACACAGAAACCTGTCTCGGGAAAAAAAAAAAAAAGATGAGCATTCAAATCCTGTTTAGTAGCAGTACATCTTTTGTTGAATGAACTTAAAAGTTATTATATATACCTATATAATTTGAAATTTTCACAATGCAGAAACAAAAGATGAAAAAAAGACACCAGATTTAGCCAGAAATAGTGGTAATCTGGTTTATTGTCCTTTCAAATTTAGCTCTATACATGTTTAAACAAACATCTTTTAAAATAACAGTCTTGGGTTGAGTATAGGTACCAACTAACATGCTTTACTATGCTTTAATCCTCAGCAAACCTGAGGTAGGTAGTATCTCCACTGGACATCTACTGTAGTGAGGCTGCTTTCCCTCCCCACACTGATGTGGACACTTTCCATAGTTACCTAGTATTCCATTGCATTATTACACTCATGGTCCATCTAACCAGCCCCATACTGATGGGTTCGTAGGTTCTTCATTCATAACAGATTGACATTTCATAAACATCTTACTACCCATGTAGTTGTCCCCGTAACACAGATAACTAGGAGTGGATTCATTGGGTCAGGGAGTACGTATTTTGACACTTTTGAGGATGTAGTTGTAAAAGCTAGACTAATTTTATAACTCCTTTATAGTAAGAATGCTCGTTTGCCTGCACTCCTCAGTGCTGCATCCTGAAAAGGTGTTGCTCATCCTACAGGCCAGTTCTTTTTTTTTATTTTTTATTTGTTTGTGCCTTTATTAGTAAGAAGGAAGTTTTTTTTGTTTTTTGTTTTTTGTTTTTTTTTGTTCATTGGCTGTTTTTAATGTCCTGTTCTGGTCTTGTTCATTTCTTTTCTTTCTAATATGAAAGTATAAATGACTGCAGTTAACATCATATGAAACTGAAGATAGACAAATGTGAGAGACCATTTTCCCCAGGTCAGTTCCACTTTCCACTTTACATTCTAGTACAGTTTGTACACATTTCTATGTGAATATACAGAAATGTGGACACCTTTTAAATAAACAGGATTATATGTGAATTTTAAGACATCTTCGTCTTACGTATTCTGGTCTTTAAATTCCTGGATGGTTGGCTGTAAAGCATTTGCTGTCCAACACATCTGTAACATCTTCAACTTTGCAAAGTGCTCATTTCCCTACATAGCCTTACCTACACTTGATAGTCCTTATCTGTTTGGGACAAGGAGAGAGAAAAGAGAAACCTTCCTTATTTGTATTTCCCTGATGAATAGTGAAGTTCTTTTTGCGTTTATTGATCATTTATAATCCTGAGGATTGTTTGTTCACAGCTTCTTTTGCCTTTGTATAGGGTTATGTGTGCGTATCTGTTTGTTCAGCATCCCTTCCCTCATTTATGGTAACAGTATCCTTATTTATTGTGGTTAACCCATTCCATATGGCTTTGGTGAGCACATGACCAGGCCTAGCCTCCTGAGCCACACTGGCCCCAGTGATTAGAGAGTGGGCATGTAATTTGAAGCAGGCTAAGAAGAGTGTTCAACAGAACTGCAACTACTGGAAAGAAGGCTTTGGAGCTACTGGAGACCCAAGGATGATGTGAGCCTGCATTTTTACTGTATGGAGAAAGTCTCCGAGGAGAAACTCAGAGGCTAGCAGAGATGGTGAGAAAACTAAGTTCTGATACCATTTTTCTGGAGGCCCTAGATCCAGTTGTGCCTAAAGCCTGCCCTACCTCTGGACTTTAAAGTTTTGTGAGCCAATAAAGTCCCTTTCTTGTTTAAGATAATTGTATTTGGCTTCTGTCCTGATTAATATAGGGTATTGTATTTTCTTATTGATTTGTAGAAAGCCTTTGTAGTTTTAAATTCTAGATTCATGCATTATATAAGTTAATAAAGTCAGCAATGGCCTTTTATGATTTGGGCTCTGTCAACCTCTGCCATGTGTTCTTTACTATCCTCCCCTCCCCAATTCACACACCGTTCCCATACTTGACATTCTAACGTTCCTTAGTGCTGGCTTCTGTGTCTGAACATTGCCTCCAACAGTACTCTTCTCTCCAGATTCATGTGGGTCCAGGTGTGTTATACTGCTGACTCTGTTAGTTAGGGCTTCCAGTGCTGTGGTAAGACACCATGACCAAAAGCAACTTGGGAGGAAAGAGGTTATTTCTTCTTACAACTCTCAGGTTACTTGATTTCCTGCCCTGACTTGACTTCTGTCTCTAGTTAAGTCAGGGCAGGAACTCCAGACAAACACTTGAAGGCAAGAACTGATGGAAAGGCCATGGAGGAATGCTGCTTTTTGGCTTGTATCTAATAGCTTCTTGAACCTGCTTTCTTACAGCACCCAGGACCACCAGCCCAGGGGTGGCACTACCTGCAGTAAACTGGACCCTCCCCCATCAGTCATCAGTCCGGAAAATGCACCACATGCTTGCCCACACGCCAGTATGGTGAGGACACTTTTTCAGTTGAGACTCCCTCTTCTGAAGTGACTCTAGCTTGTATCACATTGACAACCAGCACACTGATGTACCTAGCTAACATCGCTTTTAGGGCATGTGGTCCTTGGAGCCCTTCACAATTACCTTTACCCAATATAGGTTTTGGGGGAGGGGCATTTTATTCTAGGTCCATGGTCTTGAAGCTGTACAAGCCCAATACCTAATTTGGGGGAAAGAAACTTAAGCAAGTCTATGGGGGCATTTTCTTGATTGATTTTGATGTGGAAGGGCACAGCCAATTGTGAGCAGCGTTGTCCCTGGTCTGGTGGTCCTGGATGATCTAAGAATGGGAGGCTGAGCAAGCAGTGAGTAAGCCAGTAAGCAGCACTCCTCCATGGTCTCTGCAGCAGTTCCTGCCTCGGGGTTCCTGCCCAGTTTGAGTTCCTTCCATGAAAACTATGATGTGGAAGTCTAAGCAGAATAGACTGTTTGCTCCTAAATTGCTTTTGGTCATGGTGTTTTATCACAGCAGTAGAAACCCTGATACATATATGTGTGTGTACATATAAACTGTGTGTGTGTGTGTGTGTGTGTGTGTGTTTTACACACAGTATATATGTGGTGGTTCGAAAGAAAATGCCCCCATAGGGAGTGGCATTATTAGGATGTGTGGCCTTGTTGGAGTAAGTGTGGCCTTGCTGGAGGAAGTGTGTCACTGAGGGGGTGGATTTTGAGGTCTCCTATGCTCAAGCTATGCCCAGTGCAACAGTTCACTTTCTGTTGCCTGTGGATCAAGTTATAGAACTCTTGAATCCTCTAGCACCATGTCTACTTACATGCTGCCTTGTCCTGCCATGATAAGGGACTAAACCTCTGAAACTGTAAGCCACTGAGTTAAATGTTTTCCTTTGTAAGAGCTGCTGTGGTCATGGTGTCTCTTTACAGCAATAGAAATCCTAAGAACTATAGGAAATAATGACTATAGTGTTAGGACACTATTTATTTTGGGTTCCTTTTTAATTTTTATCTGTTTTCTACTGTATATCCTCCATAAGAGAACATATAAAGATGTGGTGCTGATGGATACCTTTAATCCCAGCAGATCTCTTGCATTTTAAGCCAGCTTGGTCTACACAGGGAGACTCTGTACCAAACTACAGAGGTCCCCAAACCATAAAGGAGCATTTAAGAATTCAACTGGGTGGTCTTTGTTTTCCACACCAGTCTTCGCCATCATGTCGCTCCTTTGCCTACAACCTCTCAGTCTTCTAGTGCATTCAGAAGAAAAGTCCCAATTCAGCCCCATGGCTAACTAGGTCTTCCTGCTGCGCTTCCATTTATCTCTGCCCCCACATAGGACTCCCTGTGTTCATTCTGCTTCAGCCACCGTGGCCCTCTTGCCATTTCCTAAGTAAATCAAGCATTTGCTTTCAGGGGTTGCTGTCCTCGTGTATCTTAAACTAAGTTTCTCAATGAAACCTTCCCTGGCTAACTTGTGTAAATTGTATTATTGTTCCTTGAAAAAAAAATTCACATGCATACGCACAACTGTAACATAGATTTAGAAAGAAAAGCAACCCTACGTGTCCATATGTTGGCTTGTTATTTTTCCTTCACTTTAGATCAGCTGACTGCTTCTATCTAAAGTTAACCTTACCACTGTGTTGTTTTTGGTCTTTGGTTTTTTAGCTCTTTTGAGGGGCCTGCTACCCAGCTACCAGATAAATACACATGGAGGCTTATTATTTTTTAATAAGCCTTAGCTTGGCTTGTTTCTTGCTGGCTTTCCTTAACTTTAAATTAACCTTTTGCCCCTGGGCTTTTTCCTTTTCTTACTTCTGTATATCTTTTTTTTTTTTTTTTTGGTTTTTCAAGACAGGGTTTCTCTGTGTAGCTTTGCGCCTTTCCTGGAACTCACTTGGTAGCCCAGGCTGGCCTCGAACTCACAGAGATCCGCCTGCCTCTGCCTCCCGAGTGCTGGGATTAAAGGTGTGCGCCACCACCACCCGGCAACTTCTGTATATCTTATTTTCACTTTTACTCTGTGGCTGGTTATGTGGCTGGGTGACTGGCCCCTAGCATCCTCCTCTCCTTGTTCTCTTGCTCTTCTTTTCCTCCAAGATTTCTCCTATTTATTCTCTCTGCCTGCCAGCCCTGCCTATCCTTTCTGTGCCCAGCTATCAGCCATTCAGCTCTTTATTAGACCAATCAGGTGTTTTAGACAGATGAAGTAACACAGCTTCACAGAGTAAAACAAATGCAACATAAAAGAATGCAACACACCTTTGCATCATTAAACAAATGTTCCACAGCATAAACAAATATAACACATCTTAAAATAATGTTCCACAATGCCACTGGACCCAGGTTCTCTCCTACCTGCTCACCTTTCAAAATACCAAATATTCTTCTCCTTGATATTTCTTAGCATATAAATATGCTGGCTTTTACTCAAAAACTTCTGTATCAACGTGGAGTTGGGGGATCAGGTCTAACCTGCCTGAACTAGTGGAGAAGGCACATTAGAAGCAAAGCTGGTGAGACTGGAGACAAATCAGGTAGACATCAGGTGTTTGTTATTACTGGATTTCCCAGACCACCACCTGGGGAAGGGAGGAGCAAAGTTTAGTAGTCTCCCTACATGGAAAAAGTGAACTTGCTCAGAAAGAGGAAATGAGTTCTCCAGAAGATTCTGCCCAGGTATTTGAATAATTATGAGCACACATGAAACAATCCAAAAACTCAAGGTAGAGGACCACTAGAACTCACGAGGACAAAATCCACCTTATAATCCTCAGGGCATTCTCTGGTGGTTTTTAAGAGCGATTTTGCCTGGAGGGAGATAGAGCAGTATCTGAACACAGTTTTGTCACACCAGGTTTAGGGGGCCACAGAGGCTTCCTAGTAAGACCTTACTCAAGGTCAGAGAATCTGAGCTTGCTTTTGATAGACCCACAACACACCCCCATGGTTGTGCATGTCTGGTGGACTAGACACTTCCGCCTAGACAGTTCCAGGTCAAAATAGCCATTTCCGGGTCAAGGTGTCTCTCGTGACCAGGACCCTGTGGCTTTGCATGGTTGTGTAAGAGTGCGCAACGCAACCATGTGATCTGCGCATGCGTGGAGTAGCCACATCGACCTGTGTACGCGTGTGCCACCCAGCCTTCATAAGCCGGCGCCATATTCCTGGCTTCCTCTTTCTTCTTCTTTTCCACACACGTGTCTCTCTGCAGGCCTGAGCACTCCTCTGTCTCTTTCATCTTAATAAAACTCTTGTTAGTGGATTCTGTCGTGTTTCCTGACATTTCCTTGCAGGGTAAGAGCGCCACTAAATAACAGCTTTACCCAACAGGGCTGCATAATAGGATGATTTGGCCAAGGGCATGGCTACCAAGTGATTTGAAGGGGCTACATTTGGCTGTACATTGTGCTTTGATCTTGAAAGGGGGAAGTCTTTGCCTCTCCGCTTGGTAGTGTATAAAAAGCCCATTAGAATAAATCTCAAGGCATCTGGGTATTGACCCAGGGCCCTCCCGAAGCTATCCTGTGTCTCTGCCTTTCTTGTCATTTCTGCCTATATTTCTATCTAATACTTCCTTATTCCTCTCTCCTCCCCTCAAGAACCCTTTGACAGGTTGGAGCTGAACTCCCACCACCAGGGAATATGTCCACTACTGGCATCTACTGGGTAAAGGCCAGAGAGGTAGCTAAACTGTACAATGCTTAACTGTATTAGCCCCAAATGGCTTGTAGTGATGTTGAAGAAGTTTGGGGTTAAAGTACCAGGAAGTCTTAAGTCCAGAAAAGAACCCTAAATTAAATGTGCCTTGAACAAAACTTAAGAGCGAAGACTTGGATAAAAATAAACAAGTTCCAGAACAATTAAGATAGTTAGCAGCCCACAAGACACTAGAGAGCCTGGTGTGGTGGCACATCCCATCACTCGGGAAGCAGATTCAGGAGGATCCGAAGTTGAAGGCTGACCTAGGCTATGTGCTAAGACCATGTAACAAACTATGTTTGGCATACATTAAAGAAGTTTACCATCTACCACCTGCTCTACTTGTTTTTGCCAACTTGACCCATGCTAGCGTTATCTTGGAAAGCAGAACTTCACGTGAGAAAATGCCTCCATCTGGGTTGCCTGTCGGCAAGTCTGTTGGGCATATTTTTGGTTAATGACTGATCTGGGTGGGCCTAGCACAAAGTGGGCAGTGCCACGCCTGGACAGGTGGTCCCGGGTGCTGTAAAAAAGCAGGTGCAGCAAGCCAGGAATTAGTGTTCTGAGATGGCTTTTGTTTGTTTCTACCCTGATTTTCCTCAGTGATGGCGTGTGGCATAAGAGTTGTAAGGTGAAATAAACCCCTTCCTCCTCAAGTTGCTTTTGGCCATGTCTTATCACAGCAATAGAACCCCTAAGACACATCAATGAATAAATAAAATATGAAGTTAAAAATACCTTGGTGGGAGTATAGCTCAATGGCAAGGTGCATGCCCAGCATATAAAAGTCCAAGGTTATGATGGCATGGGCCTAGGAGAACTGGCTCTGCCCCTTGCCTAAGGAGGGCAGTCCAAGTGGCCCAGACTGACCAGCTCAGCTACCACCCAGACCCATATGCGGGGTCTGGGGTTGGCCTACCCCGTCTATGATTTGCTGGGGTGTGTGAAGGGACTGGTCCTGAGGAATGATAACTGCAGGATTTCCATGACTCGGGCAACAGCAGGATATCCAAGAGGAATTTTGGTGAGGGGCCTTTTGGCGATGGTGTGCCAGGGGCCTTGAACCAGAACAATGACTCATTGCAATGAACATTTTGTGGGTGGCGCTGATTGGACAAAAGGGTACACCACAGCTCCTGATGCCACTAGGATGAATGAAGAAGTGTGGGAAAGATGGAGGAGTGAGGTGGGGTGTGTGTGTGTGTGTGTGTATGCGCGCGCGCAAGTATGCCATGGTGGAGGTCAGAGGACAGCTTGTGGTAGAATTATCACAGAGTCCTCAGGTGAAGTCTCAGTCCCCCAAGACTGCTCCCTCCAACTTTAGCCAAAGATTGCATATCTGTTTTCTTCACTGGTGCTTTGGGCTGAATATATGTCAGAAGTTTCTACAAACCCATCCATGGGTTTGATCATTTGCTGCAATGATTTTACCAAACTGAGGGTAACAGTTTATTTACTAGATTAGTGGTTATTAAAATAAGAGCACAACCCAAGATGTCAGAAGAGCTGCATGTGACAAGGTGTTTTAGAAGGAGCAGATCTTTCATCTCAGGAGTGCCACCTTTAGTTTCAACAACCTGGATGCCCTAAATCCTGTCCTTCAGGCTTTTCTAAAGGTTCCTTACATATATATTAGCAAATCATTGGCCACTGGTAATTGAACTTTATTCTCAGAGGTCAAGTTGGGGGGGATTGGGACCGAGTTTTTGTTCTCTATCGATTGGCTCCCCTGGCAACCAGCTCCAATGGTTCTAAGGTCTTCCCAAAATTACTTCATTGACAAATTTTTGTGGAGCTAAAGAGGGTCTGTTGTAACAAGACAAAATTGTTCTTTAAAAACATTTTTAAAAGCCTGTATAAGTTGCTTTGTCTGCCTGTATGCCATGTGTGCCCAGTGCCTTTAGAGGTAAGAAGAAGGTATTGAATCCCCTGGAACTGGAGTTACAGAGAGCCATGAGCTGCCATGTGGGTGCTGAAATTTGAACCCACATCCTCTGCAAGAGCAGCCAGTGTTCTTAACTTCTGAGCCATCTCTTCAGGCTCTGTCTTAATTGGTTTTTTTTTTTTAACTTAGGGAAGTCAAAGGGTTTTAGAAATTACATGTCAGAGATGACAGTCAATTATAGTTGCTTGCATGGTGTGGCTTTCTGAAGTTTTAATTACTTAGTTAAGCTTGTTCTTAAAATATAAATGGGAAATTCTAGAAATACTTCAATTTACGAGCCACATGAACCTTGAACCTTCTGCACATCCTCCAGGACGTGAATCGTTGCCTGTATTATCTTCCCCATTAGTCACTTGGTGGCTGTCCGGGCCTTCAGTCTCCATACTCTCATTGCTTATGTTCAAATAATCCTTACTTTCCTGAACAATGGCCCCAAGATGAAGAGTACTCATGCTGGCAATTAAGACAGGTTGAAGAGAAGACAGTATTATTATTACCTGTACCAGAAAGAGTGGAAAGTTTTCATTTAAGGGAAGAGAAAAATCGGAGGATGTTACAGTCTACAGTAAGAATAAATCTTCGTGAAATTGTGAAGGGAAAATTTATTATTATTCTGACATTTCAAAATGCAAGTAATAGCCATGTGTGCAGTAAGCACTAAAGCAACGGAATGGCGTTAGGGATGCAGTGCTGACCACGTGACACGGAGGGCCCGTGTCTTCCGAAATGCACAGCCACCACAGCGAGAGACTTCTGCTCTGGCTGTACAGCATGTTTGTAGCCGATGCTGCCGCCACTCTGTAGCTGGTTCAGTTGTCGCCATACCCACGAAGGGCCCTTCCCCTGCTCACAAACCACAATTGCACAAAGCCTGCAGCTGCTCAATGGGACACCCCGAACATATGGGAGTCCATTCCTTTTGCCTACACAATCTGCCGCTCCTCTCATCCTGCCACCAGCCATGCATTGCTGCAGCGTAAGTACTGATGGCATCTCTGCTGGATGGTTTTGCACATTTATGATTCTGGGGTGGAGCAGGCTGGCTGGTTTCCTTAGAACTGTTACCACCGAGAATGGCTGGTAACCAGTGCTGGGAACGTCTAGCTCCATCTGTTAGAAAAATTGCACGAACTGCTGGTATCTGGTAGTTCTGGCTGTGAGAAGAGCAGCGAAGACACTAACACTAGGATCCGAGTCACTGGCACTCAAAGTTGGAGCTGTTAATTAGGAACTGAGAACCTCTATTACTAATACAAAAGGTGATGCACTTTGCCTATCTGTAGTCTATCTGAATTTAGCAAGACTATCAGCTGATTGATGAAGTTCTATGCCTTGGGACATATCCCCCATGGATACCATGGAACTACTGTATTTACAGTACCACAATACCACAGTTCCATTTTTGTTCAGTTGATGGTAAAATAGTCACATGATTCATTAAAATAATTTTTTTCATGTGTTCAGAGGCTGTGAAGTGATTTCAGACCTCATAACAGAAAGTTAAACTAGTATGGCTGTGCCCACCACAGGGACTCCTGCTCACTAGGAAAACCCAAACTAGACCACCAACAACAAATTACTGCAACAAAGGGACATGGGGTTACACAGGGAATTTATAGACACTCAGGGTGAGCACAGGACACAACTCTCCATCTTTCAGAGGATATGTGTGATGTCAGTATTAATACCATTTTAATTACAAGATTTAAGGTTTCCCTACGTTCTCTGAAATAACTTCTGATATGCAGTTGGTAATTGAGACTGAGTAAAAATTTGGGCTTCTAGGAGAGATATGAATATATTTCCCTCAGAATTTTGATTGAGACTTTCCACATTGATTTTTTAAAAAAATGGTAAGTTCTGCATTAATGCCTTATATTTTTTATAATGATATCTCTGTGAATTGACTCAATAAAAGATTTCTCTTAGGTTATAGCAAAGGTAAGAGTTTCTATTTTTTTGTCTACTGATTCATTTTTTAAAATTATGAACAATGAAGGTTTTCACACAATTCCCAGAGCCCCTTAGAATTTTCTTAATATCAGTAATTCTGAGCTCAAAGTTAAATTCTTATAAAATTCATTTTTCCAGTACTTTTTAAGTGGAGCATGGGTTGGACATCGATTAAAACCTTTTTCATGGTCATTATAGCAATGGTAAGATTTTTGTTCTAGTATGGTACCAGAATTTGTGCACTCCAGGTTTTCCCACATTTATCACCTTTATGCAGTCTTCCTCCTCAGAATGGATCTTTCCTTTTTCTTTCTTTCTCCCTTTATTTTCCTTCCTTCCTATTTCTCTTTGTCCCTCCCAGGCAGGGTTTCTCTGTGTAGCCCTTGCTGTCCTGGAGCTTGCTCTGTAGATCTGGCTAGCCTCGAAATAAGAAATCCTCCTGACTTTGCCTCTCAGGTGCTGAGATTAAAGGCATGCACTATCACCACCTGGCTAGGGTGGATTTTCTCAAAATACCAATATCAGATTTGTTAAAACATCTGCTACCCTGACCATGAGGGTAGAGCTTCTCTTCTATCTGCATCCTCGGATGTTCAGTAACAATGGTCACGGTGCTGAAGGGTTTCCCACGAGCATCATATTTGTAGGTTTTCACCAGTGTGGATTCTTTGATGGTTAACGAGATCAGAGCGCCTACTAAAGCTTTTGCCACATTGAACACATGGGTATGGCTTCTCTCCAGTATGGATTCTCTGATGAAGGGTTAGAGCTGAGCACTGACTGAAAGCCTTCCCACACACATTACATTTATATGGCTTCTCTCCAGTGTGGATTCTCTGGTGTTTAGTAAGGTCTGAATTCTGACTGAAACTTCTAGTGCACTGTGTACATGCATATGGTTTTTCTCCCGTGTGGATTCTGTGGTGAAGGATAAGGTCAGAACTCTGACTGAAGGCTTTGTCACAGCTGTCACAGTGGTAGGGCTTGTCACCAGAATGTATTCTCTGATGTTTAGTGAGATCTGAACTTTGACTAAAACTTTTATTGCACAGATTACATGTATATGGTTTTTCTCCAGTATGTATCCTTTGATGCTTTATGAGATCTGGACGGCGACTAAAACTTTTAGAACAACCACTGCAAGGATATGGTTTTTCTCCAGTGTGGATTCTCTGGTGGAGAATAAGGTTGGAACTCTGGCTAAAAGTTTTACCACATTCGTCACATTCATAGGGCTTCTCCCCAGTATGGGTTCTATAATGTTTAACAAGATCTGACCTTCTACTAAACATTCTACTACACTGACTGCATGGGTAAGGCTTCTCTCCAGTGTGAATTCGTTGATGATTAATAAGATCTGAAAGCCTACTGAAGGTTCTGATACACTGATTACATAGATAGGGTTTCTCTCCAGTATGAATTCTTTGATGCAGAATAAGAACTGAGCTCTGATTAAAAGCCTTTCCACAGTCATTGCATTTATATGGTTTCTCTCCAGTGTGAATCCTTCTGTGTTTAATAAGGTCTGAATTCTGACTAAAACTTTTGCTACACTGACCACATGAATATGGCTTCTCCCCAGTATGGATTCTCTTGTGTAGAATAAGATCGGAGCTCTGACTGAAGGCTTTCCCACAAACATCACACTTATATGGTTTCTCCCCAGTGTGGATTCTTTGATGTTTTATAAGATCAGAACTCTGACTGAAATGTTTGTTACACTGGTTACACATATAGGGCTTCTCCCCAGTGTGGATTCTCTGATGTTTAACCATGTCTGAGCGCTGGCTAAAACTTTTAGTACAATGACTGCATTGATAGGGTTTTTCTCCTGTGTGGATTCTCTGATGTATAATAAGATCTGAGCTCTGACTGAAGGCTTTCCCACATTTATCACATTTGTAAGGTTTTTCACCAGTGTGGATTCTTTGATGTTTAATAAGGTCTGAGCTCCTACTAAAACTTTTAATACACCAATTGCAAGGGTAGGGTTTCTCTCCAGTATGAATCCTCTGATGCAGAACCAGGGCTGAGCTTATACGAAAGGCCTTCCCACACTCATCACATTCATAAGCTTTCTCCCAGTGAATTCTCTGGTGCCTAACAAGACCTGTATTCCAAGCAAAGCTTTGGCCACATTCATTACAGTTATACTGTCTTCTTTTTAAGAGGTTCTGGTCATTCAATTCATCCCCCAATTCCCAGAATTCTTTGCCTTTGGAATTCTGGAGAGCATCCTCCTGGAGGCTGCCAGATTCTTCAGTCAGTGTTTCGATGTTTCCTGTCATCTCCTCCTCTGAAGCTGGCTCTCCAATCTTGATCTTAGTCTCACCATCTGGAACAGTAAACAAAATCCAAATGCAAAATGTGCTCCATGTTGTAAAAAAGTCCCAGATGACACAAATCAGTATTTATCTATAGATATTACAATAAGAGGGGAGGATATGGTACAAGGTGGCCCTCGTGGTTAAGGTAATGGACTGCAAATGAGACAGGAGGCTTCCCAACATCTAGAAACACTGAAGAAAACCATGAAGAATCAACAAGTAATGGATCACACTTTTGTAGAAAGGATTTATCATATACAAAGGTATGATTTTCACAAAAGACCTAGAAAAACTGACATTGATTCACTATGATAATAAAAGTGTGATTAGATTAGAGCTAACAATTTATTAATACACTTAAAGCAAACAGAATAAAAAGTGTAAGAAAGGGCAGTTGGTTGGGTTTTATCTAGCAATGCTCAGGAATTTAGGCTAAAAGTAAAGCACTAAAGAAAAATAATGAACGAGAAATAAAAACCCTTCAATTCCTTTACATCTGCCTTTAAGAAACAGTAAAACATTGTTATTACATGCAAAGAAATGCACTGTACTCTAAACACCCTTACAAAAAAGTCCCAAGCAGGATCAATTCCAGTACAGCAATCAGTTGAAAACTGAATTTGGTATAACAACATCTATCTATTGCAAAATAACTGATACTTTTTATTATCTTCTCTGTGGGAGCCCGTTCTGGGGTTCCTCGTGGCTTTACCCAGCAGGTCCGAATAGAGGATGATCAGGACCACGGGCCTGAGTGCAGGTGTCTGAGATGGCCTGCACTTGGCTGTGCTGGGGGAGGAGGTCTTTTGCTCCACCCCTTGGCGTCTCT